GTACTGACAATTGCTAAATAGCATGATACAATCTCACGTATGGTTTATCATGGTCAGACGGAAGGCAAACAGATCTCATTCAACCTATGTAGCACTTTGATATGCACGACGTAGTAGGACTTCGGTATCTAGGGAAAACGAGAGGTCCAAAGCACGATGGTAATTGCAATGCCGGCTGGAGTGGGCATCACACTACCAATTATTTGTAACAGTAGCAGACGCATTAATTGTGTGGTATTCCGAAGATGTCACACAGAGGGTATAACTAGAGGCATGTCCGATGTGCGGTCAAATTATCCCGGCACTGTAACACGAAACCTCCTAATGAGCTCAACCCGTACGGTCTTGATTATCAACTGACCCAACGGACAATGCCATCTGATTAGGGGTGGAGATGTATGCAGTGTTTCATTTCATTTATTTATTCATGCTAACACAAAAAATTGTTTACAATCACAACACAGAAAAAAAAATCTTATCATGTAGCCTGGACGTTACATGATATATCACACTTAAAATTTTTGATCTATCACTATTTCATCAAGCACTCATATAGATACAGACTTGGTACAGTCAGCAGCTTCCATTCGATAAATACACGCTTACAATCATTTTTTATTTCAGCCCTGCCATAAATCTAACCCTCCTTTGCATCCCGAACACTCTAGCTGCCTCAGTACAGTCGCCCCATACAATAATTGCATATGCCATCATTTATATAGATGAGAAAGAGTACCGACATCTTCCTTTATCTATGCTTTAGCTGTCTAGAATATCTTCACGGCTAATTTCATTTCTGCTCTGCACTGCCAAATTATAAGATTTCCATCACTTCTGTTTATGTTTAGTTGTAACGGTGGACTGTAGTTTCTTGACTGTTTAATAATATTTTTATTACAACGTGTGATTTGTTCTGGTTTACAAACAAATGTCTTTCTATATTGAAAATTGCTGAATTGTTTTATTTTCTTGTTTCTTGTGGTCATGGTTTTTCAATTCGTCGTTCATCATCCGCCAGTTGCCGCCTTGCTGTCTTACGTTAATGCAAAACTGGTTGCCTATTTATCTGAGCTAGCTCCAACACTGTCTATCAGCTTATAGAAATAGCTGGAATTTTATATGCTCATAACTTAGAATCACCAAGACACGATGGCTTCAGGACATAACTGATGCATATTGTATAATAATAAAGTACTAACTGTAAATAAATTTTGTTAACACTTATATTTACCTGCTTGTTTGTTTCATTAGTGTGCCAATGTTTTTTCGTCCTCTAACTTCATAATTCCTATGATTATTATTCTTATTCTAATTTGCCCTATTGCCAGCACAAATGACTATTTGGTTGTTAGTTTTCAAATAAATTTAGTATCAAAGAATTCATCTTTTCGTTACTGAGATTCGACCAAAAAAATAGGGTGTTCCAATACTTTTTTGAGCCACTGTGCTTGACGCTTTTTTATGGACTAAGAATGAATGCTACCGTCACACATGTATTATGAAGACCTTTTAATCAAGAACATAATGAAGAGTTGGCGCCAGTTTGTCGCGGCCAGGCACGCACATCTACACCAAAATAATAACAGTTGGTAAAAAACAAAAGAGTGGCATAGCAGCGTTTGATGGGAGAAACGACCTGTTTGATTGCTTTTTATGAGAACCTGGCTAACAACGTCCGTCAAATGACGAAGCTCGTATGCGGTTCCTTGGTTTAAGCACATTTATGATAAAAAATTATTCTCTAAGTGGACATCATCATGATTTTTTATTATTATTATATGTATTTATATATATATATATATATAAAATTATTATTATTTGCGAGGCCAAATTGGGTACTTAACTATTTTTGCAAAATTTCACAAGGTACAATCGGATATAATATTTTATTTTTGTACTAGCAATAGTAGAAGCATAATCTATATGTGAGAAACTACTAGAACTAGTACATAGAGCTTCAATGAGTCCCCTTCAGCTGATATATTGTTAGTTGTACGAAGGTGTTATTATATATATATATATATATTTTTTTCTCATATTCTGCGTTGAATTTTAGCTTAACTCTTTCTTTGTCCAAACTACAAGTGCCTAAATTGCGTTACGTACTCTAGTAGGAAATAAAGATAAACCATGTAAACTTGATATGGTTAAACTTGGAACATCACAATTTACTCGTTTAATTCATATGAGTTGATAGCATAAGTTGTACATCATTATACAATCAGCCTTAGTGTGAAATGGTCGACAATATGTTTGTTTGAATTGCTTCTGTGTTAAAACTTATTCATAATGAAGAGATTCAATGCGTAAATGTAATTGCTAGTATTTCAGGAGAACAAAACAAGGTAAGCCAACAAATTACCTATGACTGGTGTCTAATAGCTCAGAGATATACAAAATTTTCTTTACTATGAACAGACGTGCTGATGACATGGAGGGGCCCCATTAATTACTTTAAATTTCGGACGGAGGGCGGTCGCAAAGTCCAAAAAGGAAATTGATGTCTGATAGACTTCTAAATTCATATTCGTTTGCGTAATGTCCGAGTGGGTGGCATTTTGAGCTTAATCGATAAGTTTTCTGTAAATACGATTGAACTGAACTCTTTACAAAATATGTAAATCAACTCCCAAAGGCCTAAGTCTAAGTAACTACCATTACCTTCCATTACCTACCATTACCCGGTTACTCATATTAATGTTGCTCTCGTAAATTTAACTACTTAGCTAATAGGCAATATCAACGTGCGTAGCGTATTGTTCATATTCATAAAGCATACAATGTAAATATAAACAGGAATGGGATATACATTTTGAGAAACATGATAATAACATGTCAGTGCAAATAATAATTGTAATTAACTCATCTGAATGCTAATAGAAGAATGTGATGTAGCCAGAAAAATAACAAGTATCTCTGGTTAATTGCACGTTTCAAATATTATTCAACTAGTGAAACCATACATTAATTCATAAGACTACTCATATTGTTTAACATAAGCTGGATAAAATTTAGCATAGAAGCGCACTTAACCTTAAACCATAAAAGTCTAGAGGGAATGTACGATAATAGACAAAACGTCGTCCAAGAGGAGATGGCCTACTGGCACATTCATTACTTGACTTGTTTTTTCAAGGTACTTGACTTAACTCAACTTGAAATCAAGTAAAGCTTAGGTCAAGTATTTGATATTAGCAATCTGATATCAAGTAAAGCAGTTTTTACGTCTGTCTGTCAAGTATTTGAAAATTCAAGTAGTCTTGATATTACTTAATATTTTTTGGAATATAAATACGAATAGGATTAAATACACAACGAAAAAGCTTTTTTTGTCATAAATAAGATAGTGCAAAGCGCCATCTATCACCAGAATCGACCACTGCGGAGAGCGCGAATAGTCGATTCTGGTGATAATAAATATCTCTGAAGGTCTTTAGTAGAACAAAAATATAATTTGCCAAATATCACATAGTTTGAAAAAGCTTGAACGCTACTCAAGTAGAACAATAAAAAAATCAAATCAAGTCAAGTAGTTTATGAAAATATCAAGCTACTTTGCATGATGAATCCCTATGGTCTACGTACCACTTTGACAGATCACGAAAAGAAAAACAAAGATACAATATATATATATATATATATATATATATATATATATATATATATATATATACATATATATATATATATATATATATATATATATATATATATTATTTTGATGTGAAAAAGTTGAATTTGAACATATCGGACATCTTTAACCAATTCATGGTAGCTATTGAGTGAGAATCGGAATTTAGCGCCAACTTTTACCACTACACAAACGTATATTTCTTGAAACATATCGTCGGTGTTCTATATCATAAGTTGATGAAGTTGCACAATGTTTCTGAAATTACGCATGAAATTGCGGTTTCAAGGGCTCCTTCTTGGTAGAAATTCACATGTGAAAAACGACGAGAAATTTCACCCTAATTCCGGTGCAGCGTCATTTGCGAAATGCATCGAACCGTTGTTAAATGCGACCAAGCTCTAATTGCTTCATATTTTTCTACTTCGTGACAGATGATGTGTGCAATTCTGAACCGCAGCTCTCCCGGTTATGACACCTTGCGTGCTTCAGAAAATTGCTCAATTCTGGAATTCAGTTTGGCCATACATGCATGAAACAAACATCTGCAGTCAAAAACAGGAAAGGGCAGATACTCGTATATGCTTTTTGATATGTTTAAATCATTTGAGTTAGCAATAGTAGATCAATAACCAAACTTGGTGAGATAGCAGTCCTAGGTGTAGCATTGGAAGCTGAAATCATACATACAAGACAGGAAAGTACAGGTTAAAGTAGGGAAAGGAAAGTCTACGCCATGCACTTGGGCATGTTTGTGCCACAAAGCTCAGTCCAGGGTCCAATGCTTTTCTTGCTTTATTTAAACGATCTGCCTGTCCACATCTCGAGGGGGATGGTCGCTATGTTTGCAGGTGACACGTTAGCTACAGTATCGCGACAAAATATTTTTGTTTTATACTATCCTGCATTCGCCGGATACTAAAGCTAGTATTCGGTATCTCACTGGACTTATTGTAGCCTGCTGGCAATTATTAGAAGCCTTGGGGGATAAGAGAGATAAAACAGCATACCATACCGGTGTAATTACCATATTTTTTTAAGTAGTAATCGAAAAAAGTAGAGAAGGCGCGACCGAACAATTGAGTTTACAAACGTGACTCTTAGTAACGCATTTCATACCACAGTAACATAGAAGTGCTACCCGATAAGAAATGCCAACTTAACATATGAGACTAGACACGGGTACAACGAGCAACGTGTCCAGTCTCCAGACAACGCAACGTTGCCAAACCAGTAACGTGCCATATTGCATATTTTAACATAGCCTGATACCATAATAATAACCGGATAATTGTTGCAACACTAGTAAAAACCGTAAGAATAAAGGTAAAAACAACACAATGCCTAACCTCATGTTTTCTTGTTGCAGGACCACCCCAGCCTCCGCGGCACGCCCTTGGCGATGCTGGCAGCCCAGTGCAATAAGCTGTCCAGTAAATCGCCACCTCCTCTGGCAGACGCTGCCGTTGGCAAGGGATTCCACCCATGGAAGAAGAGCCCACAAGGTGCCCCCTCACCGGGGGCTACAATAGGGGTCTCGTCGGCAGCCACATCGATACCGTCTTCGCAGAGGTCCAACAGTACCTACTCAAGGTTAGTACAGAGAAGATATACTTAGAACGGTCAAGCTGGCCATCCAAAATTGTAACCGAGAAGAACGTATAACATAATCTCAGAAAATATATAATGAAAGCGACGGAGCACATATACCGGGTATTTTAAACTCGATTGAGATCTCAGAAACCGTAAGAGATGCGAAGCGGCTTGAATGGGGCAAAGTGGCGTACTCAGGTAACTAACCAGATGCTGCTTAGAGAGTTTTGAAATCCAAAGTACTTCCGGAGAGAGATGGAAAAAAACGAATTTTCCCAAAATCGTTTTAATATTTTGCTGACTTTAGTTGTAGTGGGATTTCAAAATAAATTGCACTTTTTCTCCTCTACAAGGTGGTATAACTTTCTAGTTATAACACACATATATATATATATATAACACATAACGTCATAACGTTTCATCTCTTGTCGTCCAGCATCAATTTTATATTTTCTAATGTACGCCATACTTAATTTTCGCATAATGTGAATGGCATTTTCAACTCTAATTCCGAAAATATATAATAAGTCATACATGAAGATTGCCAAATCTTAGTTATTTCAAAAAAATTAAATTTCCTATGTGGGCCTTGAAATTATCAGATAGCCACTTGTTTCGCTTCGGATACCGGATTTATTGGAAAATCGTTTTTTATTTCTTGGTTTTGTATGAGATTTAATTTTAAAATGATTTGCATATTGAGATTGTCACTCTTTCTCCTCTAGAAGAGGGCGTAGTCAAATTCTCAGTTAGACGTTTCTGCTTTTGATCTCCATCCAGAACTTTGTTTTTTTCGTATAGATTCTGCATTTATTCATGCCACGATAAACTTCACATATCTAATTACAGTAATATATTCTTCATAGTATTTAAATGTACAAAATTCCAATATAGCGTCCATATGAAAAAAAAAGTTGGTAATGGAAGTCGAAAGACGAAACCTCGAATTGAAAATGAGGACACGCCAACTTGTGGAGAAAAAGTGGCTATGACTGCATGCAATTTATTTCGAACTCGCATCCCAAATAAAATATAATAAAAAACAGATGAAACTCTTTCTGATAATTTCAGGGCCTACTTGGAAAAATCAGTTTTTTCTAAATATCTAAGGTTAGGCAATTTCAATGGATGAAACGTTATACATTTTTGGAATCAGAATCGAAAACTCTATCCATCTGTGTAGAAACCTAATATGAATAGCATCCCTAAGAAAAATTAATGTTGATGCTAGAGGACAATAGACGAAACATATTGGTATTCTGATTAGCCATCTTGTAGAGGAGAAAAAGTGGCAATGTTAACTACAAATAAAGCCAAAGCCAGGAAGAAACTAAAACGATTTTGGGAAAATTCGGATGCAGGACAGTCGAAGATAACATGGTTTCCTGTTAAATTCTTACATAGCGATCCCTATTTCCTGTAGGTGTGCTCTGAATAACCAATGGCCAGTCATAAAACCAACCACCTTCTCTAGCTCTTTCACACTCAATCTAAGTGCTTATGCTTATTATATTTGGGCCCGAAGGTCCCCTACGCATTTCTTTTGATTACCTTGTCCCACCTCCTTTGGTGCTCATATGAGTCAACGGGAGACACTGGCTCGCGCAAAGCTAAACGGACTGCACCTCGCTGGTTCAGTTCCAATGAGGCATGGATGAGCTCATTTTTTGGCATAGTCACCAGCTCCCTTACTACCATCTATACACATGTCAAACCTCACATAAGAGACTTACTCTGTTGATCTCTGCCAGTATTTTTAGGATATTATTACAGTCTCACGCCTCTAGGTATTTTTAGCTATGACTTGTTTAATACCATTAGCGCAGCCCGGCTGTCTGTGTTTTCATAGGTGCTTCCTCTAGTGTGCGCAAGGATCGAATTTAGGCACTTTGATTTTTATTCTTTATGAATAATCTTGCCGCTCACTAAGGTATTACAATCTACCATTTGCCGATGATCTGAAAATCTACGCCAAAATTAGAAATTTAGAGAACCATATTTCTCTTCAGGAGGATCCAGATACTATCACACAGTGGTGTGACAACTTTCTCTTCTTAAACATATCCACATAACAAGTTTGTTTATATAGTCGCAAAATGAACTCGATTATCTTTGATTACCCCATAAGTTATTAGAGAGAACAACAACGAGTTAAGATCTTGGTGTAACACTTTCCTACAGGCTGAACTTCCCAGTCCATGTAGTACGCGTTACTTTTGAAGCGATACGTATTTTAGCTTTTATAATGTGTATCTGCCGATCTTTCTAAAACGAAGCAGCACGACCAAAACTTGAGTATGCCTCTTTAATATGGATTACCCTTCCTGGAGAGGGGGTGACTCATTCAATTCAGCTGCGGCGTTTTGACTTAAAGTCTCAATTAAGACGTTCATTCCTCCATAAGCTTTTGCACGACAGACTGGATGCATCCGGTCTCCTCCAGAAATTTTACTTTTTGCTGCGGTGCCTCCCGTACCAACGTATTATTTTATTCACCGCTATATTTATATCTATATGCAATAATTATTCTTCCAAAGCAGACAATTTTGAAACTAACAAACTCAACATGATGTATTCCTCTATTACCTAACGTTACTTTCTTTGTTCCAGATCGGTGATGACCTCCTGCGCAAGTGTGCCCACGACTGCTTCCTATGGAAGCGACCTGTACTTCCCCGGAGCCACAACTCAACCTGCCACTAGCGACAATTCCCACTTACACCACCAGAGTTCGCTGTTGGGCAAAGTAGAGCAAGCTGCCACAGCGCATCACCTAGGCTCAGTCTACTCGAGACATCCATACGAAACGTGGCCTTTCAACACAATGTCAAGCGCAACGCACCATGGAGGAATCAAAAGCGACTCGGTAGCGTCAGCAAACGCCTGGTGGGATGTCCATTCTACTGCAGGCAGCTGGCTAGACATGAGCGGAGCAGCTGGGATGCATGCTCAAATGGCTGCCGCGAACTATTCTACGGATTACTCCACCTTGACACACTCATTAGCTGCCTCGAATCACTTGCTTTCGTCTGGTCAACACTTGTTGCAAGATACTTACAAATCGATGTTACCAGGGGCTCAAAGCGTTGGTGCATCGTTTGGCCTCCACGCGCCAGGATCTACTCCTTCACCAACTGGAGGAGGAAGCGGGCTACCTCCTCAAGTACCATCTCCTAGATCTCAAAGGCGGTATACAGGTAGAGCCACGTGCGACTGTCCCAATTGCCAGGAAGCTGAAAGACTAGGACCTGCGGGTGTTCACCTCAGGAAGAAGAACATCCATAGCTGTCATATACCTGGATGTGGGAAGGTGTATGGTAAAACCTCACATCTGAAGGCTCATCTTAGATGGCACACAGGAGAGCGTCCGTTTGTTTGCAACTGGCTTTTTTGCGGCAAAAGGTTCACAAGGTCCGATGAACTCCAGAGGCATCTAAGGACCCATACGGGGGAAAAGCGATTTGCATGTCCAGTCTGCAACAAGCGGTTCATGAGGTCAGACCATCTAGCGAAGCACGTGAAAACTCACAATGGTAACGGAAAGAAAGGAAGCTCGGACAGTTGTAGTGACAGCGAGGAGAACAGTCAAGGAGACTTGAACAACGTTAATTCTCCAGCATCGATGAACCAAACTCCTCCTCCTTCGTCGAATATGGGCCTGGATATGGTGACAGGGCTGGATGTGAAGCCTCCTGGGCTAGTTTGAGGCAGGTGGGGCCCAACGCTACTGTATCCTAGCTACTAACACTAGCGGGCCCCCAACACAGTGATATATTGGTGTATATAGGTGTATATAGGAGACTGTCAAAGAATTGAGCTTATTTGTGGACCAGAAGAATTATGGATATCTCGTTGTACCACTACCGAACTGTGTAGTTATAAAACCCCACGTTAAAAATGGTTTTCTGAAAGTTGGGACATCCCTTTTTATAAACAACTGCGCCTTAAATAACAAAGCTAATGTGCGCTGAAACCACAGCGAAAATTAAAAAAAAGCGAAAAGTACTTTGTACACCTTTGATAAGAACTAAGAAATAGGGGTAATAAGAAAAGTACGGTCCTGTCAGATGTTGCATATGTTTTATCCTGATGACAAAACGTAACACGTTTTTATTTGCAAACTTCAGATGAAGCAGCTTCATTAACATTGAAATATTTCCAAATGGAAAAAATATTTTTAAATAGTTAAATAAAAGGTTGTTTTCAAAAATGTATTTTTTTATTTTTTTTATTTTAGTATTTATGTCAAATGAAACTATGGTAATTATAAGCTCGGGCGGTCGCCTCGTTGGATTTAGAATGACGTCACTTTGCTTATTGTGTTTCTCTCATAGAGTCCCTTCATTGGATGCGATTAACTAGTTAAAAGTTCAGTTCCAAGATTTGTATCGGCATTTTCGGAGCTGCCTACTGTGTCCACATTGACGTTTCTATAAGCGACCCTACGAGATAAATAATTCTACGCGGTGCAGAATGACAACAAAAATGATCTGCATACTCTCGCGAAGGTACTGTAAGTGTAAACTCCTGACAAATCGACAGTTTCGTTTTTGCTATAGGAATGTTCTCCTTTAGTCTCATCAAATCCGATTTGCAAACAAACAGCTAAGATTACGTTCTCGGTGTGTGACGCCTGGATTGATTACTGACACTTGTCGTATCTTCATGCCTAATCCTATTCGGAATCTGATAATTTTTTTACCTTGCGACTTAAGTGTATATATATGGTACTATGGAAATTTCCTTATCTTTTCAAGAACGATTCGCATCTGGGTAAAGAAAAGTCCCAACTTCAGTTAACTTAGATCACTAGCCCTAGTACAATATCAGAATTTTTCTTTTCATGTGATTGTGTACGAAAGTGATACAGAATGAGGCATTTTATAATAATTTTGGTCTATTTGATGAAAAACTTGCTTTAATTGTACATATTTATATATAAATTATATTTAAAGAGTACGTACATATACGTAAAATTAAGGTGATCGAGAAACGTGCTTATGTCACATATCATCCATAAAGTTTTTTCATTTTTAGCTTTTATATCAATATTCACTGTACTACATAATCAAAATCTAAAACTTGGATATTTTGCATTACGATTACTTGGTAGTGTGGAAGAACAAATATGAATCAATATGTTATAATTATATCCAACAAGGTATGCCTGTTCGTCAGATATAGCTATAGAAGTGAAGAATCAGACGTATGAAGAAAACAATGATCATTAAGAAGTGACTACTTGTCACTTATAGCTGCACTTAAATCCTCTCTCACTGTTGGAAAGTCCTTTTCAATCACTCCTTAAGCTGAGTGCCGTTTTGACGACCCTACCCCACCTTTTTACGGTATCGTGATTGAATACTTACCTTCTATATGGTTGAAGTAGTGCACCTCAACGTCGTAAGTGTTTTCTCTGATTTGACCGTCAAATATTTATCATGTTTCTCTTTCTGCCAAAAAGTCTGTAATTTCTGTACATTGTAACAATATATATGTAAATTATTGTCTAAGAGCTTTCGTGAAAATGTTAAAAGATATAAATATAATTTTGAATCTGGACACTACAATGTTTTTTAATTTCGATCCTTCATATCGCAGGCAGCAGTCGAAGTCTTGAGATCTTCCGTCAAAAGAAATGGCGTCAAATCGATTGACTCTGCAAACAATCAAATGGATCAAACAAGCCCATACAATTAGCCTATAGTTCACACTCATTTGACAAAGATGTCATCTAGAAAATTTTCCCCTGCCGTACCGGCAGTACCGAGCGTCTGGCAATCTTCCTATGTCCAACTTCGCCAGCCACAGCTGCCACCAATCGGACAGACCGCGACGCAGGTGCATCCTGAGACTTGTGTTGAAAATATTTCTCTAGTATTCTAAGTTTTAAGGCAAAGTCTGTGATGTGTGAAATATGTCTAATAGGCGTGTAGAAGCACTGGGGTTGGAAGCGAATAATATACAAACCGCAAAATAAGCGAATAATTCAAGCTATTTGAAATGCGAATAATATACGCGGACTTGGTATACCATGTACTCCACGTTAGGGTGCAGTACGGAATGAATTGCCCACTTCCTCCAGGGCCACTCACCTTTGTATCTCTCTTGCGACTTGACACAATATAAACAAAGCAGATGCCTTCGATGCATCCAAATGGTGAATATTTATTACCTCTTTATAGAAGGAGCAGTCCATAGTAACGCGAAAAAAAATTGAGATACCACTTACAGCCTCAAACCCAAATTTTTAGGCCCTATAAAATTTTTTCCGAATATGATCAAGAGTCTCTTAAATCTCAAAAAATGAGTGTGAACGATTTTTAATTGTTTTTTGTAACCAGCGATTTTCAAGGACCAAAGTTTTTCGTCCTTAGTGCATTAGTGATTTTTTTTTAAAATTTCATCATGCTCCGATCGGTACCTCTCAAGTTATAGAGGGGAGACGGATTAGCAGAGAGACAAAATGCCGGTTTTTCCAAATATGCCCAAGAATAGGTGAACACCCAAAAAATATCAAAAATACATGGCCTGGGATCGATCTGGAATTTTTCGTCTACCTCTTGTAAGTCCACCTAAGACCAACTTTCAAAACTCACTTCCATAATAGTAAAACAAAAACAACGAATCGTTCAGCCTTCCGTTATGTTATTTTTGACAGCTTCAACAAACAAGAGCTTTTATGACCACTAAACTTGACCGTGGTAATTTGACAGTCCTGACTACTGACAGTTATGAAAGGTTGCTCATTTCTTAGAACTTCGAGGTAAAGCCAAGCTGTTAAATTTTGTATAGAAAAGTTCCGGCAATATTTGTGTCTAAATTGGACAGGACTCACAGAACCACAGAAGGACAAGTGACAACCGACCCCACAGAACCACAATAAAATGCTAGTTTTCCATATTGCATATACTCGTATAACAATGATCAGGACCTTCAATTTACTTAGAGCACTGCCTACTTCTTGCATTAGTTCTTACCTGTAGCAGTAGTGTATTAGTGTTGGGGAGGCGAATCCTGGCGAATCCACCTTTGACCTTTTTTGCCGACAACGTAATACCATTACAGTACTACAACGAGCCATCTACTAGTAAATGATTCAATAAACCAGCTCCAGATATGAGAAATACCTGTTAATATTGCACCACATGCGTGATATACACAACGCAACATCCATATCAAGGAATTAACTTCCAAGGCGGAGATTCGAACTCGTGAGCCCCGGGCTGCTAGTTCGTCTCGCTGCCACCGAGCTACCGATACGCTCTTATCTGTGATCTAAAACTCACATTTCTATTTTGACCAACATGTTTTGATAATTTGAAATTATTTTAACTGAGCTTCAGTCTTAGAAAGTTTTACAAATTCTGGCAATAGCGCTGAATAAGGCAAAAATAACATATTCTGTCTGTGAGCATTGTCTCGCTACTGCGCAAAACCTCAATGAGGAAGATCATAACGAAGCAGCAAAGCAAGAACACTAAAAACTCTCTACTGTTGAACAAACTCCTAAAAATGGCTTTTTTTGCGATGACATTGCATTGGATATGGCGTGTTGAAACCATAACAAACACTGTCGAGAAAGAAAAGATACTAAAAATATACATCATCCATAATTTTTAACGTCTCATAGTTATAATGCGACGATATTCGTCTTCAGTCTCTCGTCCCTTCTGTAACTAATTTATATCTTGTTGACACGTTCTGGAAACTTAAAATATACGCACGAACTAAATCAACTGCCGTTTTTCAACTCATTTGCTCTTCCTGTTAGCGGATATTATGGATGCAGAGATTCTAAAAGAGACGTTACAGCTTGATGCGGCATCCCGTACATTATACGAATATTGTATAGCGCATAGGTCAAGCAAACTAGCCAGAAATGAAGCACATTAAAGAAAGAATCGTATAAATTTATAACATTTTTTATCAAACATCAAATTACAAAATAGCGTCAAGTAGGTTAACTCTTGTGGAAAATGTGGAAAATCTGAGGAGAGATTTAGTCATGAACATGTATATTATAACAGGCCCATACCATTATTCCGTAGACATTTGCTTCCTGATCTACCGATAGTAATTTTAATACGGGTATGGTAATGCCACCCCATTGACTGTGGCGCCGATGAACCCAGGGAGTAAAGTGAGAGCGAAAGCGAGAAGTTTTAAGAGCAAATGTACGGGGAAATCTATGTGTGAATTATCGGGGTTGGAGTGAATACATACCTTAACTTCAAAAATATTGAGATATACCCTTCTACACCTCCAACAAGGCCCAAACCCTAATCCTTTTCCCTTCTATCATTTTTCTGAAAATAATGAGGAGCCTATGAAGCGTTAAAAAAACAAGTTTGGGTATTTTTTATTTTTTCCATTTTTTGCACACAGCTCCGCTGCTACTGGACCGATTCTCAATTATCTCGATGATGTTTCGCACTTGACTTTGTAACAACCTTGTGAGAAAATTTCATCCAAATCCGAATGGTGCTTTCCAAGACGGGCCATGGATTAGCGGACAGACAGAGCAACGGAAATGAGTGACATGGTTTCGATATCTCACGAGTTTCTTTACGATTGCAATACTTCCTTGCCAGTACCGTGAGCAGTACGAAATCACATTTTCGCATATACCTACTCAAAAAATCTTAAGTATTGCACTAATTATTCAGGGAAAACGATTATCGAACTCAAAATAGTAAGAATCAGAAGTTTGCAAAGGTTGTTGAGCATTTCCCATTATCTTTTTTGATATTACCCACTACAAAAACTTATAATTTATACTGTTGTTTCAGACTTACCATTACGCGCTTTTGGGTTAAGAGTAAATTTAAAACTATGAGTAGTTCGCAAACGCTACCGACCCTTAGAGCGGACAAAGTTACCAACCACATAGACCTGATCAATCAGGGGAGTACCAAGTACTCACCATACTGCCAGCATTGACGTACTATGCAAAAGTTGCTTGAGCTATATATAACCTAAGTAGGGTCTGCTTGCCTTACATAGCATCCGTGAAGGAACATTGTATAAGTTCACGACAGATTTATAGTGTCTGTTTACATTTTTTCTGCTTCTGTATAGTACCGAAATACGTATAGTATGTGATTATCTGATACAGGTCTACATAATGATGGAGACCAATAACGTAAAAAATGGCATCAAGTGGGTTGAGTCCATAGACATTATTTCTCTGCCCTACTGGTAGTTAACGACCATGTGGCAAGGTTGACCCTTTCCACACCTGCGCGGCATAACTGCCGAGTTATCTTTTGCTTCGTGCAAGGTCCGTAAGCTCTTTGCATTTCTGTTCGGACAGATATACGAGTATAGACCGGGCTGGTTTACCAGGTGGTGCGCTTAGATACGAAGGAATTCGCGCATCGGAAACATTTCTTTATCATTCTAAGTTTTAAAGGCAAATTTACGTGTATATATATGATGTATGAAGTATGGCTAGTAGGTTCATAAAATTACCGGGATTGGAAGCGTATAAATATACTAAGATCAAAAAAGATTCATATACACATATGATTCTTCCAGCGTTTAATGAAAGATTTATTGTCTGCAAATGAGGAGCCCTTCCATTGCAAAAATGGTCTACACAATTTTATTTTTCCCAAATTCTATTTGCCCTGGTCTATAAGGCAGCATCCAGTATATCATATGAATATGATACGCGACATTTGTGGATATGATTAAGCTCTGGCTCTTGATATTTGGCACCAAAGCAGTCATTCTCTGGCTTTATGGTTAATAAATTATACATAACGAGGTTTGTACCCTTTAAGATTTTATTACGTATGGACATTGTGCGCTAATTCTCGTACATACATCATTGCTTTCAGCGGGTGTCGTGCTCTTCTTTGCATAGCTAATATCTTAGATATGCAATGTTGAAAATTTCCTTCGGTATACACTTTAGTATACTGTAGAATCACAAAAAGCACTCAGTTGAGATTAAGTTGAAAAAGTAAATTTTTAACATACACGGGAATGCATGAGTAGGGTTTATATGAAAATTAAATTTTAACTTCGCACGTCAATTGACGAGACAGGACTCGCAAATTTTGGAAATAGAGATATTAGGATTTTTACTTCCGGTGTAAAACTAGCGAGGAAGTATTGTAATCGCAAAAGATTTCGAGAAACTTCGAAATTGAGATATATTTTTTGGGTGCTATAAGACTTGTACATCATGAAAAGTTATGACACTCGTTTTCATTGGTCTGTCTGTCCCTCTATCTGTCGGTTTGACGATCCGTCCGCTAATTTTATAACCGACTAAAACTTGAAAAGTACTGCTCGGATTTAGATGAAATTTTCACACAAGGTTACTACTATGCCAGGGATGAAAGAGCTGTATTGTTTTCGAAAAGCGGTACAGTGGTGGCAAAGGTAGGAGCAAAAACAAAAAAAAAATAAAAATCGCTTTAAATTCCTTTTTAACTTTTGTATGCTTTTGATCATTTTCGGAAATTGGGAGTTGGGGGTTGTACGAGTAAATGTATCGAACTTAGTATTAGTCAAAGACGTTCCCTCATTAAGGAGCTTCTGATCCCGGTATAAAACG